GGTTCTCACCGGACCAAGCTCTCACATCACCAAGCGCGAAGCGCTGTGAAGTATTCGGCGAGTCGCATGAAGGGTGCGCTGCATCCTCCTAAGGGTGTTCGGCGTATTGGCCACGGCAATCTCGTCGTGGTCTTAGATAGCAAGAGAAGATTGTTGTTGTTGTTGTTGTTGTTGTCGTCTTCACATAAAAAAAATAAAACGTTCCGGTCTCTGCTCAGTACCTTCTAATGTCCGTACTGCCCCAACTGACGTGGACACCTTCCGTGGTCACATGCCAACTGCCCCAAAAGGGTTCGCAATCCTAGAAATCAAACGGGTAAAAGAAAAGGTACTCAGGAGAAAGCACGGATTTGCAGAGAGTGTTTTTGGCTTGTCCCTACCCCCACCTGAAAACCGCACCGGCTAACCGCATCGTTGTCAACCCATCCTTTTCCCACCTTTTACAACAATCTCCCAAATGGCCGTGCACGTCGCGTGACATTTAATGCCCCCAAGGATGGAGCTTGGGTGGTCGAGGCTGGAGCTAGGCCTGCTGTTCGGAGGCTTTTGCGCTGGGGGTATGCAGTCGGCAAACGCCCTGGAGGAATTGTCCGAGGTAAGCTGTTAGTGCCCGTGTGCCAGCCTACCGAGATGTAGCGTGACGTTATTTACTTCCTGCAAAATATTTTTCTTTTTTTTTTAGAACCCACTACCGTACCAGCATACGACACAAGGTAGCACCTCGTCCGCTCAATACCGCGCCCGGTGGCATTATTTTCACGGGTCAATCAACAACCGATGGCGATAGTGTTACCGGTCCACACGAGCGCCCTGCTCTCAGATCAAGCAATTGGGCGACACATTGTTCCACATACAACAACGACATGTTCCCCCCCCCCGAGCACTGCGTGGCCGAACGATGTAGCCAACGAGCTTTCGAAAACAAAGCAGCCAAGTCACCCCCCCCCCCCAAAGAAAAAAACAATTCCACCCCACCCCCCCCGCGCGTCAACCCAAAAGCTGATGGAACAAGTATTACAAGGGGTGAGGGGGATGCGGCAGAGCATGGTGGACATGCATAGGACTCGGGCCCAGGCATCGTTCTCGCGAGTTGTCGGTTCGTCGCTAAGGGGTGTCTCCAAGGCGGTGGACGTTACCCTTGAGGCTACTTCTAGGCGGTCTGCGCTGCTGCCGGCGTCGATCTTGGCCTGCTGTCATCGGGTGAGCGAGAGAACGCGCGCTCGCTTTGAAGGGTTGTTGTTGTTGTTGTTGTTGTTGTTGTTGTTGTTGTTGTTGTTGTTGTTGTTGTTGTTGTTGTTGTTGTTGTTGTTGTTGTTGTTGTTGTTGTTGTTGTTGTTGTTGTTGTTGTCGTTGTTGTTGTTGTCGTTGTTGTCGTCGTTGTTGTTGTCGTTGTTGTTGTCGTTGTTGTTGTTGTTATTGTTGTTGTCGTCGTTGTTGTTGCTAGTGGTGGTCGTGGTGGTAGTGGTGCCTTGATGCTGTTGTTGCCGTCGTCGGGGTCGTCGCCCCCCCCTCCCCCCCCTCTACAGTGTTGCTGCTTGTTTCATCCCCCCAAACCCGCCCCTTTCCTCTCCTCTCTACCGTTTTGTTTTCAATCCAGTACACGGGAATCCCCATGATGCAACCCCACCCCGACGACTCCAAAGACGTGCTCGTTAACACCGAAAACAAACCCAGCAAGCACCTCCAACCCGCTTTCCCCCCCTCCTTTCCCTCCCCTTGTTTTTATTTCGATAACGCGGGGATCCCTATTTTTCTACCCGCCCCCACCCACTCCAAGGACGCTCTCGGCACCGCCGACAACACATCCACCGCCATGAAAACCAGCAGCGTCGACAACAACAACGCCGCCGCCGCCGCCGCCGCCGCTGTCGCCGGCACCGGGGGCCCCGTCGACGATGACGAGGAGAGGGGTCTCCGATCATCCACGGAACCCCCCCCCCTCCGACGACAGTCCAGCCTGCTCGAGACTACGGGGCGCCTGGAGGAAGCCGTGTCGAGGATGATGAAGGACTACCAGCGGGCGCGGAAGGAGGTGCTGTACGGCCTGGACGACCTCGGTCGGCCGCTAGAGGAAGTCGCCTCCTCGGGTCGGGAGGTGGACAGCGGAGGACGAAGGTAGGGACAGCAGTACGGTAGCCTTTGCAGGGTTAAAGTAAACATGTCGGAAAAAACATACAGTCGGAGAAAGTTGGGCTAGGGAAGGGGTCTGCGTATCCCCGACTTGCAGCTTTTTTGAATTGAACATGTTGGAAAAAACATAACAGTCGGAGAAAGTTGGGCTAGGGAAGGGGTCTGCGTATCCCCGACTTGCAGCTTTTTTTAATTGAACATGTTGGAAAAAACTTAACAGTAGGAGAAAGTTGGGCTAGGGAAGGGGTCTGCGAAACCCGTCCCAGTTATTTCCTCGTAAAACCTCCTTACTTTCTCGCGAAGGCGGTCGGGTAAGGGAGGGTTCGTGGCTTGAGGGAGTGGGAAGAGGAGGGACAGGAGAAGAAAATCTCGAGCAGACAGGCTTCCTGAGGCGGGGGCGGTCAATACGTGGGAGAGTGCAGTCAGTCGTCCCCGCTTTGAGGACACCAAGGTTGTGGACAGTCCCCGCTTGTCAGATTTGTCAGAAGCATGGTGCCCGGCAGATGGCGAACAACGATAGGGGGTTGATTTGAAGGACGCTACCCAGCTTTTTTTGGGACACTTTTAATGGAGATACAACATGCGTGTCCTTAGAGCGGGGACGAGTGTACACAGAGTAAAGGAGGATAATGGGGTCATCGGCTTTTTATACATAGCGTAGATAGACCCAAACCGGCTGAGTAGGACCATGGCATCGGTGCTATCATGCGCGAGTTCCGTGTGATTGTTGTAAGAGACACGGGTCGGAAGTGGGAAACGGCCCGTACTGCGTGGTGCGGGTTTTTGTCGACGTCTCAATGTTGGTGTCAGATGGGAAGTACGGGACTGTGGCGATGTCGTCGTCGTTGTTGTTGTACTTGCTGTTGGTACTATTGGTGTACTTCATATCGTTACCCGTTTCCTCCTGCTCCCCTAAGTGAAACGGCAACAGCGACGTGGGCATTGAGCACAACACACAATAACCATACACCAAACACGCATTGACGATATAGCGACGGCGCAGAACAACGGGGGGAGAAACTTCCGTTTCGATCAACGACCCCTTTTACACCCCTCCCACCTGCAGCCCGTCTCTCCCGCGAGACCCGGTGTCCCTGGAGGACCTCCAATCCCTGTCGAAGCGTATCAACCTTCCCCGGACGGGCAGCATCAATCTCTCCGGCTTGAAGAACGGCCTCAGCACGACGGCCGGGGGGTTGCCCGCCCGCAGCAAAGAGGCCGAAGTTAGCGAGGGGATCGGGGGCAGGAGGAGGGAAGGCGACCCGCTGGGCGGTGTCCCGAACCACGTGCTGGTCATGAAGGAGCGCCAGAAGCTTGGGAGTGCCGCCACCATGGCGAGGGGGGCGTTTCTTTTCAGCCTGTCGGGGCTTTGCTCTGCCCTCACCAAGAAGAGGGTTAACCGCACGGGGTGAGTCCGTCTTTTCGTGCATGCACCGCCGTGGGGGTCGGGTCTATTTGATTTGTACGTACATCCAGAAGGTCACCAGGGGTTGTCAGGGCGATAGTGCCATTGAGCCCGCGCCATAGCAGGACCCTTGGAACATGCAAACCCAATCCTCCCAGGCCAACGCCGTCTATCCTGCCCCCCCCGTCGTCCTCTCGAGGACGCGTGGTTAACAATAGCCTAATCGCTAAGGCATGTAAAACATGAGTCCCCCCCCCCCCCCCGCTCCACGACCGGACCATATGTGCCCGCCCCGCTGCTCGCAAAAACTAAAACTAAAGGGGCTGGCGTCCGTCCCAATCCGCGGAAGCAGCCCGCTTCGTCTTCTCCGGCTTGTGGACGGCGATCCGACCCCCCCCGGGCCTCCTCGGCGCCTTATCCTCGACCCCGGGATTTCTGGCGGCACGATGCTTCCGCCGCCGCGACAGCAGCCGGGGGCATCGTCGCAAGGCCAAGTCGGCGCTGAAGCGCCTCGGGGCTGGGTCGGGTCCGGGGTCTCCTACCCCGAGGCCGGGAGGCGTTCGGGAGGGGGGATGTCTCTCCGCCGTGACGAGGAGCGGGTACTTCTGGTGCTTCAAGGTGAGCGTGTGTGGCGTAGGAGAAAGGGGGCGCGATGAGGCTGTCGATGGTAGTTTGCGGATAATCGCGTTTGTAGGTGATGTGATTTATTTTTTTTGTTGTGGGGTTCGTTCGACGGACCTCGAAGTCGATGCCTACGCGCCTTTGTGCTCGCCAGGGGGGGGGGTGTACTCATAGTCGTGCTCATAGTCGTGCATGCCGTAGTCGTTAGACCATTGACCTCGCATCCCTACAAAGCCGGGACGGAGCACGCCGGGTTCTCACCGGACCAGGTTCTCACATCACCAAGCGCGAAGCGCCGTGAGGTATTCGGCGAGTCGCATGAAGGGTGAGCTGCATCCTGCTAAGGGTGTTCGGCATCTTGTGCTCGCCAAGGGGGGGAGGGGAGGCGGGGTAGAATTGATGCCCATGGTGTCTTGAGGGTGATTTGGAAGGTAGGCTAGGTAGACCACCACCGCCACGAAGACAGGGCATGCTTCCGATACCCCAGCTTCCCAAAGCTAGCGCTGCGTCGTCGGTATACTGAAAGTTCAGTTCGACTGTTGGCCAGCTTCGGCTGAAGAGATAAGGACAATACATCGAAGACGAACGGTATCGATCCCTCCCTTGGAAGCGCTCTGCCCCTTGTCTCTGCCTCTTCTCTTGCATCTCTTTTTTCTTGCTCTAAATAGTGGCCTCATACACGTGTCGACTGACCGGGGAAGCCCTCCGACGTTCTTAGCGCGCGTGGGCTCAAACTCTCAGACCCCGATGTGAAGAGAGAAGAATGACACCCGTGTATATCGTATATCCCGCGCAATAGCCCCCGCATGACCCCGAACCTTCTCCTCCTCCTCCTCCTCCTCGTCGTCGTCGGTGTTGGTGTTGTCGCGGGGGGCACCGCCAAATCAGGTGTCTCTGGCGCTGACGCTGTGCGCGGTGTTCAGCCTGTCCCCCTTCCTGGCCGAGTTGTTCGAGCCGTCCGTGTGGATCTCGGTCACCGCCTCCTTCGTCATGGACACCCAGAGCGCCAGCGCGGTGTCTACGTCCCTGCTGCGGCTGGTCGGCACGGTATTGGTGGGTGCTTCAATGGGTTGCAGCAGTGGGGGTCCCTCAATAGTGCCGGTTGGAATGGTGCCACTGCTCGGCATGTTGCCGGGGACGTCGCATGACACGGACGGAATATATACAGGATGTCTCGTTGGATAGTTCCGAGTGCCCGGTATACAGCGCCAGTGAATCTGGCCGGCACTACTGAGGGGCAGACCCCCACTGTACCGTCATCGTGCGAGTGATCACGCCCACCCCTCCCCTACACTGGCTTTGGTTGGCATGGCTCGATGGATTGCTCCACAGCCGAGAGAACACCACTCCCGAGAACGGTGGTCTTCGGTAGAATATGTATGTCGTCGAGGGATTGATTCCCCGTTAGACCTGGCGGCCGGTTCATCGATAGCGCCCTCTTGTTGCGGAGCAATCGATCTACGCATGAAGTTCGATCTATGGGGAGCGCGATCGCTTGCAACAGTACAGTATACCGTTGTTGTGGGTGGTGAGCACTTTTCTTCGGTACGCCGGTTGTGTTTTTTTGTTGTTTGTCTGGCGGTGGGGTGCACCGAACAATCACACACCGGCTGGCACCGCCCGTCCATGAGCGCGGTGAAGCGGTATGTACACCACCATCACGACCACCGCGGCCACGGCCACGGCGAGCACCAACATCAACATCACCACCACCACTACCAACAACAACAATAACCATCGCTTCCACCACCAGCCACAACCACGACAAGCAGTCGGTACAGCCGGTTATCCACGCCACCGTGACAAGGTTTTTGTGCTATCCCATGGATCTGCTGTTCGTTTTGTTTTTTCTCCGTCCTCCAGGGAGCCGTGTATGGCATCCTGGCTGCCAAGCTTGCTGGCCAGCCTGAGGACGAGTCCTACAGCTTTCAGACGTACGCTATTCTTCTGCCGTGGGTGAGTACATGCTAATGGCATCGCGTTGTCGTACCCCCGCCCCTCCCTCGCCTTGTTCAACCACTTTGCGGTGCACCTATTTGCCCCTACCTCGCGCCAAGAAAATATAAAACAGAAGTAATACCACCACCATCATCATCAACAACAACAACAACAACAACAACAACAACAACAAAGGCAATACCCACAACATCACCACCACCACCACCACCACCACCACCACCACCAAGAACAACAACAAGGGCAATAACTACAACATCACCACCACCACCACCACCACCACCACTACAACACTAACGCGAGCAAGCATGGTGTTGGCGCTAGGTGGCGGTGACTTGCTTCTTCCGGAACAGCTCTCAGTTCTCCTACGCGGCGCTGGTGGCTGCTTTCACCGCCGTCGTCATCTTCACCAGCTCCAACACCGTGCTCGGGGCCAACGGCGAGGCCGTCTCCCTCGCTAGGATAGTCAACACGGTCGTCGGCAGCGTCGTGTACCTCTTAGTCGACATGCTGCTCGGTGAGCTAACCTCTTTTTTTTTTTTCTTAATATGACACAACGAGACCATCTCTATCATAGAAAAGAGTCTGAGACAGATTAGCAATGGATTCATAGCGTCAGAAAGTACCTGTATGTCTACGATTTCCCAGACAGCATATAGGGACATCTCCCCTGCTCTTTTTGCGTGTGCCGTGTGGTTTGTTGGTTGAGACGATGCTGGGTGAGTTTTTCCCCTTTTGTATGCCGTCAGCAATGCTCACAATGCTTACGGGACCGCCGGCGCATAGCATCGCCTACCTCTTGGTCGACATGCTCTTTGGTGACTAACCTTCCGAGTAAGCCGACGGGCTCCTCGGCGAGTGTGCATCGTTGTCTACGTGTTGGCTGATGCGATATTCGATGAGTCTGCATTCGTTGGCATCTGGTGTACTTGTTGGTTGAAGTACTTCTGGGCGAGTTAACCGTTGTTTGGTGTGTCGTGCATTTGTTGGTTGACAAAACTCGTGGTCGATGAGTCCCTAGTCTTTAGGACTTGGTGTATTTGTTGGTTGACCAAACGTAATCTTTAGAATCTCGTGTACTTGTTGGTTGAGATGCTGCTGGGCGAGTTTGGTTCCTTTAGAATGCAATCGCCATTCTCGTAACCCTGTCGTGACCGTCGTCACATGTCGTGGTCTACACCTTGGTCGACAAGCTCCTCGGCTACGTTTGTGTGCCGTGCGCTTTTGTTGGTTGACGTGATCTTCGATGCGTGCACTACACTCCTTAGGAGTATCTCGTCCACTTGCTGGTGCCATCATCATCATCATTTCAATCACCCCTTCCGTGGCTGAAGTCAATCAAAATTTTGCTTTTTTCTCCACGAAAGGCTGTTTTGTTTTTTTGTCATTGCGAGATCCAACAGCCTCGGCACCTTATGCCCGCCCCCCGGTACCGGCCTTCCTCCTTGTCTCCGTCTCTCTCCTCATATCTCGACGCACATATTACTTTGTCTGTCTCTTGAAACCGACGACTGGCAGCCCCGACACGTGCGAAGAACCTCGTGCTGGAGCAAATCTATCTGTCTCTTGACGCCGCCTTCCGAGAGGTGAGTGGACGTACTTTTACGCTGCAGCGTTGTCCGGCACCGTGCACGTGTTGTTGTTGTTGTTGTTGTTGTTGTTGTTGTTGTTGTTGTTGTTACCTTCTGATTGCGACAAGAGACGGGGGCCTGGGCTGCCTTGTGTCGTGCGGTACAGTATTGGATCGAAACACGCATTCAATGGTTTTTTGGATATCTCTCTCATCTTGCAACGATATGTATTTTTCTTGATCACCTGTGTCTTGTAGCGGAGACCTTTGTCTCGTTGACGACCCCCACGCCGTGCGTAGCCTTGTCTACCTGGGTGTATGGCCTGTCCACATAGCAGGCGTACGAGTTAGATGAGGGTGTTTGGCGGAAACATTTAGGCTCGTGGCCTGTCTGCACGTTGCAGTTTTATCATGGTGTATGATGGCCGCGTTTAGGCTAGTCGGAAGAGGTAGTAAGTGCCGTCCGATCGCTTGAAAGTAAGAGTGCGATGACAGCATGTCAGCCCCTCGAGTATGTGGAAGCGATGAGTAATGCTTGTATATTATTCTCTCTCTTTGTCATTTTTCTGAAACATGAACGCTAAGCATGATGCACGCAACTTCACGTGTAATTGTGTGCAGATTTCGATCAACGGCGAGAGAATGTTCGGGCCCGTGGTATGCCCTCGCGACAGCCGGGCGCAGTTCCTCCGGGCACTACACCGGTCAAAATCTATTTGCGTGCCTAGTGGCGGCCCCGGAGCCGCAGCAGCGCCGCATGCTTCTCGCGGTGGCGAGGGAAGTCCGCACGAGGCCGGCAGAAAGCACCGTCGGCATGGCGGCGGCGGTGGCGGCGGCAGCGGTGAAGTTTCGCGCAGAGATGGAGCCGAGTCAGCGGCCGGCACTACAGCAGCAGCAAGAGCAGCAGCAGCAGCGGCGGCCGTACCAGCGGAGTCGTGGGGACGGCTACCCGCCGTAGCGGAGCTGCTCCTCCTCCCGGGCTTCTCGACCGAAAAGCCGGGCTTCTTGGACGGCGGCGGCTCGGGGCGGCCCTTGGACCCAACGCCGATCGTGTCGGGCGAACAAGGTCGAGACTCGCCCCCGGGCAAGCCCGCGGCGGGCTCGCCGCCGGCGGAGAGCGCGGGGCCGGCTGGCTCTCCTGCGGGCGGAGAAGATGGTCCGCTTAGAGACGAAGGACGGAGGATTGTAGACGTACCGAGAGGGAGTGGGTTGGCGGGAGTTAGGTGGGAGGGGTCGGGAGCTGAGGAAGGGGAGGGCTCCAGGCTGGAGGGGGAGGCGGCGGCGACGGCGGCAGTCGTGTCGACGACGTCTTGGGGAGGGCGGGAAAAAGAGCCCGGTGAAAACCCGTCCCCCCGGGGGGGGGGGGAGGGGGGTACTCATAGTCGTGCATGCCGTAGTCGTTAGACAATTGACCTCGCATGGGGGGGAGGCACGCACAATCGACTCTGTTCGCCGTTAATTACGACGGTTGCGCACGCGGAGCGGGGCCCACACATGCTTGAATGAGTTTTTTTTTAATTCGATCGGCGGGACATCCCATTCTACCCAATAGCCTTCGCAGATTTTTAGTATTAAGCAAACATGTTGGATAAAGCATACATCCGGGGAAGTTGGGTTGGGGTAAGGGTTAGATAATAGGGTCTGCGTACCCCCTCCTTGTTCTATTCCTTGTAATACTGAATATTTCGCGAAGGCGGTCTACTCTACCGGGGGGGGGGGGAGGATACAGGCTTGACGTTGTCGGTCGACGGAAGTCGCCAATGTGGTGCGTGTGAAGTAGGAGTTGTCGACGAGCTGCGGAAAGACAAGCGTTTTTTCTTTTTTCACGTCTTCGCAAAAGGTTTTTGGTTTGTGTTCAAGTTTCAGTCCCGCGCAGGGTACTGTAGAGTGGAATCTGCGCGGTAGTGTCAACCTTCCAACCATCGACTTCGAGTCAAATCGGATTGTAGAGCCGAGAGTCATTGGGTCGGTACATGTGGTTTTGTTAAATAGGTGGAATTATGAGCTTGAGGTGAGGACCACACTCGGAAATCTTAACAAAAATATCTTCAGAAGTGTGGTATATGAAATGAAGAACGTCGTGCAACAGTAAAAAAAAACGTTGTGACCCACACACCTCCATAGGCTTGCATGCCACGCGTGCTGTTTTGCGCAGGACTGTTGTTTCTGAAAGTTACCGTACACTCCAAGATGATGGAGCATCCTCACGCCCGCTCGTTCCAGACTCTTGACCTCCTTCCCCACGCAAAGCCTGAAAAAAAAGATGCCCCTTCTCCTTCCGGAATATTTTTCCCGGAATGTACTTCCCGCGCTGCTTGCTATCTAACCCCGTGGGGTGTGCACCACCAACTCTGAAGGAGGCATCAGGAAGATGGTGTGCGCCCTCGCGCTTCAGAAGCGCTACCTCCCCCTGGCCGAGCTCGAGCCGCAGCTGTGGTACGAGGCCTTCCCGGCTTCGGCTTACCAGGACATGGTGGCGGCACAAGAGGAGGTGAACAGGGAACACTCGCGAGCCAATACATGTAGACGAAAAGGGCTCAAACACCAACCACCCATCCATCGACTATTTTTTCACACGCCGCGTTCCACCCCTAATCGTGTTAGTGCCAGCGCCGTTTCCAGCAAGTGGCAAGGGCCGAAGAGCTTACACGGTGACGACCGCAACGTCGTATGCTGGATGCGTTTCTAGTTTTATTCAACGAGATTCAGGCAAGCGACAATTTCGTACCCCCCCCCCCCCCCCCCCGATCTGCTGATGACGGCGATGGCGCTGCTCGT